GGACAAGATTTATAGATATAGTACATATGGTCGGCCATTAATTCGGCAATGCAGGACCGCCTATGTCACACGCATGTTGATTTTAGGTTTCCTCTGACTTCATGTTCAACCCGGACGTACGCACGGACACAGCTTTTTAATTTTGGGGTCAAACACCATGACATATGAATCGACTGCATAAGCATGGATCGATGCATTCGCTCAGGTGTTTTGGAAATCTGGACTTGTTGGTCTCCGCTTCGTAAACTGACAAGTTTAAATTGGCCATCAATAACTTCAACAAGCATATGCAATGCAACATGCGTGCGAGCATATGTGACGTTATGGTGTTCGGCCTTTCTTTTGGACTGCACGACGTACAAAAGCTGACTCAATCGGTTAATTAACCCAGGGAGGCGCCGTTAGCCAGGCTGACCATGACCACTAGCTTCTCCCTCCAAATTCTCCCTTTCCCCTTTTTGTTTTCTTTTGGACAACTAGCTTTTTGTAAAGGATCGGAAGGAGCCTGGATTACCTAATTGCCGACGGATTGCATGATGTCTGCTGTGGCTGCATTCTGAACCAAATATATTTACACTGTTTATACTTAATATTAAATTAAAAGAAGAAAATTTCTTCCTCTAAATTTTTGTCCTTCACTCTCTCCCCAAAATCCATATGTACCTCCAGTTTTGGCCGGTCTTAATAGTAGTAGTAGGTGATGAAATAGAGATAAAAGTACTTTTCGAGATGTACAACTTTGTTTTGGCCGTTTCTTCCTTCGAGATTTTTTAAAAATTCAAATTTTACAAGGCAACTCCTAGAAATAGAGCCACCTCTAAAAATCGATTTCTAGCCTCTGCAAATGCATTTCTAGAGGCGACTCGGTTTAGAGCCACTGTACAGGCGGTTGTAAATTGACCTACCTCTAAAAAAAGCTCTCATTGTTGAAAATCAATTTTATAGTAGTGCATCAAGTATCTATATATGGGTGTTCTGTTGAAAATGAATAAAGAGGGAGCGCAAAAGGATAAGTAATTTTGATTGGTTGTAGGTACAAAACACATGAACTTCCAAGCCTATTCTTGATAGGGAGTATCATACGCATTTATTAGATGCCATGTAGAATACTTTGCTTATGTGCTAAAGAATTATTTTGAAGAGAGAATAAAGTTTGTATCGCCATGTTGATTCAATTTTGACACCAATATAGATACTTGACATTAAATTCAGCAGTTTAGACTATTGTTGTAGACATAGTGATGGATTCAGCTTAGACTATATCTATATTCTATATTCTATATTCTATATTCTATTCTATTCTATATATCTTATATTTTCAAACCCCACTTGTAATTTATCTTGTCATGCAAAATGTCCACATCAGCATCCACTAGAACATCTTACTAGCACATGCAACTATCTCGCCATGCAAAGTATCCACATCAGCATCCACTAACACATCCAACTAACACATGCCATTATGTCTTCATTCAAGGTATTCGCATTAGCAAACCACATCATTTACTAACATATATTTAGTTGTCCACGTCAGAATGCTAAAAATCATCCACTAACATGTATTATGAATTCAATTATATTAGTAAATATAAGTAGTATAACTTCACCAGTGATTCCCGCAGCAACGCGTGGGATGTTCTTCTAGTATTGTTGTAGACAATCTCTATTTTCTATTAGAATACAGTGATGAAACTCATGTACCATAGAGGTTATTTCTTCCTCAGAATTTAATACCCTCCATGTGATGTGGTGGCCCTTAAATTAAATATCAGAGTATGCAATCACAGACTGAAACAACCTATATTTTTTTTTTTAGGAAACTAGAGGGGCCGCAGCCCCTACATAATTTTTTTATTGAAAAGGAAAAGAGGGTTATTTACAATGCAAAATTAATTTACTGAGAGAAACTAGGGGGAGGAAGAACAGCTTCAAGATACAAAGAAGGAAACAAAGAAAATAAGGCAAAAGCCGGGGGGCTCAAATCATTTCTAGCGGTTGGATCCATTGTTCAAACAGAGTTGAAGATGAGTTCATTGAAGAAAGACCATTCTTGCTACTTTAATAAAGATTCTTCTACAATCCTGTATGCTCACTTGATTTCCATTGAAGATGAGTTCATTTCTGGCCAGCCAAAATTGTCCAACACATGAGAATGTTTGCCACCATGAAGAATTGAGAGTTGATCTAATCTTTGAAGGCAGTAAAGTTTTCAAGAGTCCCACTATCTAAGGAAGTTGTTAAATTGATCAGGCCCCAACATTGTTGGGCAAAGGGGCAATGTAGAAACAGATGCTCAGTGCTTTCTTCAACTCTAAGAGCACGGAGCTCACAATTGTATGAATCTTAGAGATCAAGATGTGGAGAGAATGTTCAGGCTACCTCTTTCACAGCTAGCTACATCTCAGCTGGTAGAGGTACAGGAGCTCATGCAGGAAAGGATAGGAGACAGTAATGCTAATGATAATTGGAACTATACTTGGGGATCTCCAAAATATAGTAGCAGGAAAGCTTATAGTCTATTAATTGGACACATTGGTGCCTCACCACTGTTCTCTTGGCTTTGGGCTTCTAGTAATTTGGGTAAGCACACAAATTCTTCTTCTGGTACTTCTTAGAGATAGACTGAACACAAGAAATCTTTGAGAAGAAAAAATATGGAACTTGAGGATTATAATTGTGTCTTATGTAATGATGGACATGAAGAAACAAGCTTTCATCTTTTCTTTGAATCTGCCTTCAGTAAGCCTTGCTAGAGCTCTATTCCAATAGATTGGAACCTGAACCTGCAGCCTCTGGATATGGTATTAGAAGCCAGATCATCTTTTGGGAGTCCCATTTTAGAGAAATTTTCATCACTGCATGTTGGACAATTTGGACTAATAGAAATGGAGTCATTTTTTACAATGATCAGGTCAACATCAACACAGCGAAAACACAGTTCCAGAATGAACTTGGCCTTGTGTGCCTCAAAGCCAAGCCAGCAAGACAGATGATCCTCAGCTCGTGGAGAGATAATTATTTATGATGTATTCTTCTTTTTGTTTTTGGGCCTTGATGCCTTGTAATAGTTACTTTCTCGTTACCCTTTGTACATTACATTCTTTCGTTTAATTGAAAAAGCAAAAAAAATATAGGTAGGGGGTTCCCCTACTGATTCGGTCAAAAAAACAATTGTATGAATCCAGATTCATGTGTTTCCTTCTAAGAATATTTCTCGTACTCAGTCTATCTTTAAGTAGCAACCAGCAGAAGACCTTGTGCTTAGGTTGACAAAAGCATTTTCAGACCCAATTGAAAGCTGGATTGGTTGGATGATGTCCAATTAGTTTTTTGTACATTCTTGTGGAGAGAAATTTGCTCGAACCCCCATTATAGGACCAGACATCATCATTATTTTCTAGAGTTGTGGCCTCCATTAGGTGTTGCAGACTTTGCAGCTGTGTGAAGGCAATTTGAGAGAGAGGTAGGTTGAATATTTCTATGATTGTATCTTGGCTAAAACTCTGCTGACAGAAATAAGTTTATTTTTGGCAAACGAATGAATCTCCGGTAGGCTCTGCTCAAGGGGCTGGGTTAGCCATCTATCTTTCCAAAACAAGCATGTTTGCCCATTTTTAACTTGAATGAATGCCAGGTCTTTGAATTTTGAGAGCAACTTCAGCACATCTCTCCACCAAAAAGATCCCTTCTTGACATGGCTTGGCAGTTTTCTATTTTTGTATTGCTTCTCCCAAATCAAATTGACCCAAGGTATGTTTTTCCTGTTGAAGAACTTGTCTAGGTTTTTCATCAGTAGATTGATTCTGTATTCAATATAATATTGATGACTCCCAATCCTCCTTCCTCTTTTGGGACACAGACCATTTCCCAGGCAGCTTTGGGCTGTGTTCTACCATCAATATTTGATCCTCTGTTCCTGAATTTATCTATTTGTTTTACAACTGCTTTAGGAGATTCTAGAGTGCACATGTAGAAGGTTAGCAAGGCTAAGAAGACTGCATTGGTGATTTGCAGCCTCCCAGCTTGATTGAGTATAGCAGAGTATGTCTCATGTATTCTAGCCGGTGTAGAGCACACGGGTTAATGCATTAATTAGTATTACTTGAATCGCACACGTGTATGCATTTCATGCTTCTCAACAAAATAGCAAATATGATGCACCAGTCACATCTGAATACATGCATGCGTCCGTCAAGCACGAGTCATGCCTAAGCAGGCAGTTTCTGCACGCACACGACGGCATGTACACACCAACAATGACGATCGACGACCAACCATCATTTCGACTGCGTCGTCGCAAAAGGTTGGAGCACAATTCTGTCCAGATCAAACGAATCCTTGGCATCCAAAAAAGGCTCTTTTGTCTCCTGAATAATCCTGATGCATGATTGACGAATGAAATCTATCTGGAGTCAGACTAACGGGTTGTAAGCCGGCCCTTCAATCATGTTCTGCCTCTAATAAAAAAAATCATGTTCTGCCATTTCGCCGCATTCTTCCTTAATAATAATAAAAAAAAGGTTGGGCCACCACTCGGAAAGGTGGATGCACACCACAATGAATTGTTCACTGCTGCTCTTTGGTTTAGTTATTAGCATAGCATTAATAAGCCGTGCATTAGCATGTGAAGTTAGTGCCCTCCTAGGCTCCTAGAAAGAACATTCCTGTGAAGAAGCCCTGTAACATCCTCGCAGGTGCACTCGTACCAGAGAGTTTCTATTGCGCTATTGTCATGCATGACACACATACTATGTACGGAGGATATGCAATAATGCAAACAGGGATTCCAGGAGCTAGTAGGCTAACCGTACAAGCCCAGCCCCCTCGTTTATATACGCATGGGTAGCCCATGCAGATCCTCATCAACCCCAACGAAGAAACACAACACGCACAGCGTTACACACATACATCAACAGAGCGAAGCAAGCAGCAGTACGTACGTGTCGAGTTAGATAACCAAGGTTTTGCTGGTGGCAATTGTTAGTCAGGCGTCGCCCCACATGGCGATTTCAAGAAAGATTATTGGTGCTGCTCCGGTGATAATCCTGGTGGTGATAATGGCGTTCTTGGCCGTCTCAGGGGCGGCAAGCAGGAGGCTGGGCGGCGACGACGTCTGGACGCCAGCCCGGGACTCTGCTGTCTCCGGTGACGACGACGGTGTGGCGGTTCAGTTCCTCCGGCAAATCTACCTGCAGAAGCTTGGTGCGGGGCCCTCGTGCGGCACCAACAGCTCAAATGGTGGGTGCCCACGGCGCCCATGATCTATCAAAGATTCTGGCTTACATAAAAATGGTGGGAGAGCCTATGAAAGCATGACGTCTCGTGTGTGACTTGCTTTCATGGAGGAGAGGGTAATGTTAATTAGTTGAGTGGCCGCACTGGTGCTCATATTCTTTATATAGCTTGTTCTTTTTATTCAACTTTGGGTCATGTTTTTTTGTGATTCGTTGTGCGGAGTTTGGGTTTATATTCACCCTTGTTCATTTGTTTAACTTGTACTAAAGAATGACCCATGTACTTAGAATAAAATGGTGTAATTGGATTTATATTCATTTAGTTTTGTTTCACCATTTTTTGTTCGAGAAGTACGACAATATGTGCACATGTTCCATCGGGAGGACCAAGGAGTACAAACATGTATCCAAGCCTCTCTCACAAGTACACCGTGGAAAAATATGGAACTCACGTTTCTGGACTCGGCAGTGCTAGCGCCCGAACATACAGATGGGCGCCACCATCCGGACGCCCACGCCTGTAGTCTGTTTTTGTGCCATTTCACGCGCCCACACGGGCCCACGCCGCCTCGACGTTGCTCGCCCACGCGCCGCAATTCTGTTTCCCTTTTTCTGTGTTTTCTTGACGCCCACATGAGGGCCCACGCCGCCAGACCACGCATGGGACCGCTCGTGCCGCCTCCGCTTCCCACACGCATGCACGTAGGAACGTCTGCGCCCGCTTGGTGGCGCCCCAACCGCGGCTGCAGGTGGCTACAGCAGGTGGGTCTCATTGCAACATGTGCAACACGAGATCTACTTTTACAACATCCAGATGAAACACATGCAATATACGTCCGAAACAACTATAACACTTGCAACATATGTCTGAAACACTTGCAAAAAACACCTAAAAACACTTGAGAGTCATTGCAAAACATATACAACATCCATATAAAACACTCGCAACATATGTGTGAAACATATGCAACATCCAGATAAACACACTTGCAAACATACATCTAAAAAAACAGAAACATTTGGAAAATATGTTTGCAACATACATGCATAGCCATTGCAACATATGCAACATCCCGATCTACTTTTGCAACATATATATGAAACACTTGAAATATACCTTTGAAACATCTGAAACACTTAAAACATACGCTTACAATATGCGCTTTCAGCAAAACCTGGCAGGTGGGCGGGCGGGCAGAGCACTGCACAGCAGGATCCAGCTGTGTAGTTGCGCGGTGGAGAAGGACGATGGCAGCAGGCGCACAGCTGCACGCCCCCCGGCGATAGGGCACATGCAGGGCCCACAACGAGCGGTGCCTGCGGTGTGGAGGCAGCGGCAGTAGTCGGGCGGGTGTGGCCTCATGTTGTGAGGCGGCAACGGATGTTCAGTCGTGGGGGAGCACGCCACGGGAGTGTGGGCGTGGCAGTGGTGGAGAGGGAGTCCAGCAGGAGGCGCGGTGGAGAGGAAGGCATGCGGGAGGCACGGCGAAGCACGGTCGTAGATCAATGTCGCGGCGATGCGTGAGTTTTTTTAATAAGATGCGGTGATTGGAGGGGAGCAGATATGAACAGATAAAATAGCCTTCTAGACGTCAGGCCCACCAACACAGGAGTCCGACATCTCCGTCCCAGCATTACCATTCTGCGGCTGGCTACTGGTCTTACGAAGGCAAACGGGATTTCCTCCGGTTCAGAACCTTCAAAATAAATGATGTATAATCCCAATTCCCAAATAGGTTCGAGAAGGATAAATGGTTGATAACCGCAAACTTCCTAGAATAGTATCCATATTTATACAACATCTTACAGCATAAATAGGTATCATTGCACAAGTTCTCAATTCTTCTCTTGGGAACATCTCTAAGAGTACCCAAAACAGTCTCCCAATCCAGAAATTTTAGCAAGATTAAAAAAACTCATCTCAAACTACTCTCAAACCCATCTCTCAATCTTTTGGCACTTGAAAAAAAGCACCCCACGCGCGTAAAGTTGTGCTGGGTATGTATCGTTCTCTAATCTGGAGGTGAAAGGATATGGGGAAGATAAAAAAGTAGGACAGGGGTTTACGATGCAAATGTACAAGAGAGAAATAAAGTATAAAAACGGTTAGTGTGATTTAGAAATAGTTTAGGATTCATGATTTAAAATTCTCTTCTATCTTTTAGGTAGCGAGATTTTGGAAAGTGTTAGAGTTGTAGCTTTTTTTAAGTCTCCCAATATATTTTGCAAAGGTTGGAAAACTAGTTTTTAGGAGTTTTTTTATATTGTCGGAGATGCTCTAACATGTCTTAGCGAGAGATCTTGTAGGGCTAAAATTAGGAGTAGGATGCAGGAAATCTGCGCTCTACTTCCACACATTACCTAATATATATAGGAAAAAAAGTCTATACTTACCCCTCCAAACTATATATTGGCATTCATCTACTTCACCCTCTCATCTAGAAAATCATATATTTTATCCTTGAAGGATGAAAAAATTGTCTAAATAACGTCTTGGGGTGGTTTTGAAAGAGGTTGTACTAGCTAACATGGCATTTTACATGGTTGATGACATGGCTGTAAAATAGGAAAAGTCTACATAATCCTCTAACGCCCTCAACTATAATACCCAGTACTGAAGTATCCAATAATGTTCAAATGACCTGAGATAGTTTTATAGGGTTGCTTTGTCATGGCAACCTGGCATACTAGCCTAATTATCCATATTGGAATGTGATAGACCATCTATATAAGATGGGTGGTGTCGTCCCCTCATTTCTGAGAGTCCTAGGTGTATCTGTACTTGCGCTAGGATCACGCACAAGTACGCACAAAATCAACAGAAATGGCACACATATATAAAATAAAAGGTTCCGAGCTTTATTAATATCCAAAATAGGGTTCTACAACGGTGGCCCAAAGGGCATGGTCATAGGCTTCCATAACTAGCAGAATACTACTGCCGCGGGGCGGCATTTATTCATGGTGGTCTCTAGTACGATGGTATTAAACAGCATAGAGATAACCTATTCCATAGGCAAGCTTGAGCTTGGCTGGTGAAACCCTAACCTTCGATGTCATCTCCCTACGATTGGACTTTTCACATAACTCCTACTCTTCGTGGTGCGCTTTCTCGTCGTAGCCCTGGTCTTCCTCGGTGCCGAAGTTTGTGAGTCAACAACGGGTGAGTACTTACGTACTCAGCAAGCCCTAACCATATGGTGGAAAATAGAGGTGTGGTGGTGATTATAATTAAGGGTTGGGTCCTAGTGGAGCATTACCATTCCAACTAGTGTCTGGGTTAGTATCCAGTTACGTTACCAGTTTCATTACACATAAAAGTAAGGCTAATCATAGTATCTCATCCTAGCATATGCCCATTCCAAGGACGTGGCTATTCGAATAGGTTTAAGTGACTCTACAAAGGTGTATAAATTTTCCCACATGATAGACACAACCCCTTCCATGATCAGTGGTCGAATTAGGCCTAACGAGACCCTGTACCCGCTTGGGTGCTACCTTAGACTTCCATATAACTCTACCGCGACTTCTCAGGGTTGAAAAACACACTAAACTTGAGAGGATACCTAATCGTCCCATCTCATAATCCCGGATGATACCACATCATCCCTTCATATAATCATGAACGATACCACATCATCCCAACATAACAGTGCCAATGATACCAAATCATCAAAATAAACAATAATAATATGGGCTTGAACGCGGCCAAGGTCAAGGGGCTTAACGTAGAGGATCACATAGCAACCACGCCAACCGGACCATGGAAGATCCACACCCATGTCGGCTTTTAATATTCGACTGCCAACAACGGTCTCCTAGTTGAAATTATACTTCTATCTAACGGGGTGTGAGATCAAGTCTACCCATATAGACATGTGGTTGTACGTAACATCGCACTAGGCGAGAGGGACTACGAACCGGTCCTTAAGTGACCGAGGCGAGCATCTCCCCTGGAACCCTATCCAGGCGTCCCTGCCAAGATAACTTATCTGACATAAGTTATCCCCGCTCGCCCCTTGTTGGGGTTTAGTTTCAGGTTTACCAATTTTAAGTTCCATTAATTAGTATCCCTAAGTTCATCTATATCGTGGAGCTCATAAAATAACTAGATAACCATTTATCTTAATTCAACAGTGCCGCAGCCCACGACGCTCCGCCGACCATGGCACTTCAGGATTTTTGTAATGGTCGAGTGACACAAAACATCCCATGTGACAAACCAACACATATATCATCCAATGTCATGCCCAACTATCAAAGTTATTATGCTTACAGGAAAATACACACTTCACAAAACTTATATAGTTTTAGTTTCTCTCGCTAGGCTCCACTCTTTGATATCTCGCACGAATTCTTATTGGAGTTAACTCGTAGCTCATCTTGGATTCGCCCGGTCTAAGGTCTACTATGCAGCGGTGAATAGAGCGCTACCTCGCATCCACTGGGGTAACAATCACCTGCAAAACAACTTAACAGTAGCGCCGTGAGTATATTTCATACTCGTAGGACTTAATTCCAACATAAGTATTTGGTGGATGCGAAAGGTATTTAATAGGTATTTGTACATTTGCCAAAGATACATGGCGTCTATTAGATGACATGCTCATGATCCATTTTAAGATATTAGCATTAACCAGGTATAATATCCAAAAGAGTAATTAACACATATGAGTCGCAACATCATCATGTTCCATCATTTCTCTACCATGGGTATAGAAAGTAAGAACAACCGAATGGTTCCATCCCAAAGGACTTCAGGCTTTCGAACTCTGCAGAGGTGTACAACTATACCCATACGGAAATACGGGACTAACCACCATACTCCGGATCCTGGTTTGAGATCCCACACTCACAACGACCTACCCCTAACATGAGCAAAGTTACCAAAGTGGTATTCAAGTTTATGACCTTTGGTGTTATTGTACCTTAGCAAGATTAGTGAAGTAAGTCAAGTTGTACCCTCATTGCTTTTAGTGATTAATTATCCCAGTGTAGCATTCTAAACGCACGAGAATGAGTTGCCT